AGACACAGCCATTATGTTTCACAGATTAACCAATTAAAGGGGAAGCTGGTAGGGAGGCGCTTCAGCCTGGCTAGAATAGCGTGCCCCTCCCCAACGGCCAGACTGGAACAGCCCCCTGCCACAGGTGCACATGGGCTGCTCCAGCTTCCTCGGGTCCTTAATTCATTTTTGTTTTTTGGGGAAAAAAATAAAATTAAAATGTCCATGCTCATTTAAATCATTGCTGTGGGATGGGGTTGGGCATGAAAGATTCAGTATATAGGCTGCCCTAGGGCTGAGAACTACCCAGTCTTCTCTCACGGCAGTAGCTTGGGGCCAGGTGAGAAGCCCATGGCCATAGCTTCAATGGGCACAGTCAGGAGAGGGGAGCGTGTCCCCCAGCTGGGACAGGTCTGGATTTGTATGCCCTTTATGCTCCCCAATCAGAGTGAGGAAAGCAGCAAACCATGCACTTTCCCCTCCCTCTGACAAAGGGGAACAGTCACCAGTGTTCCTATACAAATCAGGGGAGGGGTTCCAGCCTCTTGCCCTCCTTAACAAGCACCTGGGGCATGGCAGGCTGAGGGCTAGGGCAGTCCCAGATGGAGGGGCATGCCCCCAGCAAGCCCCTTTCACCTGCCTGGTGATTATCTCTTTTCCGTATGGTTTTATGAGAAGCAGACCCATTCCAGGCACATCCAATCCCTCACCTTGCTTTAAATTATGATAAAAGGAAGCTATGTTCCAAATTTGGAGGCAATTCTTAAACAGACAAACTCTCTCAAATATACAGCAGATTGGATCTGATAGCTATGTTCAGTGAGGCTAAATCAATAACTAAGGTCATTAAGTAATGAAGAAAAGCTCTATGTAAGAGCTAGGTATTGTTTAGGGATATAAGTGACTAGTTGAGTAGGTAACTGCTTGTCGAGTAGTCAAGTGACTACTCAAATAGTCGATCCTCCTTCGCTCCCCCGCTGCCTCTGTATCAGTGACAGCAAGGGGGGTAGAGGGGAAGCAGGAGCTGGTCCTGGGGAGAACTGTCTTAAACCACAGTTCCACCCAGCACCATGTCTGCAGTTTGCAGGCAGAGGTAGAGGGATACCACCCCCAGGACCGCTGCAGCTCTGCACTTTAAATGTAGCAAGAATCTGGCAGGCTCTTACAACATTTAAAGTGCAGAACCACAGGGGGAGTCCCCCATATCAACTTATTAAATAGTCATTGGACTTTCCATTGACTACTCAATTAGTTAATTAACCCATACTTAACATCCTTAGTATTGTTTATATCAGAAGCTACTCAAATAATCACTGCCATTCTTTTTCATTCTTTTGGTCAGTGAAGTGAGGACTATACATCTAAAAAATTCTCATTGGCAGATGTGTACAGCAACTACTAGAGACATGATCACAGAACTCTTTAAATGACAATTGCAAATTGAGGGTCCAGATCTTTAAAAGTATCAGATACTTTGGTCCACATCCTCAAAGGTATTTATGTAATTGTAGGGGTAAAGTTAAAATTTACTTGGAGTGTTTCTTATGAAGAGCTTTCTATAAATTGTGGATTGGTTGCTGTACAGTATATTTGACATAAGCATGGCTCAGGGCCAGCCCACAACTTTTTGGTATCTGAGGCAGGGAGCTCAAATGATGCCCCCTCACTGCACCAGCAGCAGACACAATTTTCTATACTCTGGGTCCTAGTGGCAGCTTGCTGCCTCAGTTTACCTCATGGTAAGGCCAGCCCTGCATGGATTTTATTTTTCATATGTGGGTGGTTGTACTTTATGGTTGCAAGATTTTGTTTGCTTGAACCACATCATTTTAAGAAAGAGGTTTTCACTTGTGCACACAGGGAATACCTATAGCCCTAATGACTTAGGACTGCAATCCTGAAAACATGTATGTACTGACCTAATTTTATTCTTGAGTTATCTTGATGAGGGTTTTATTATTTAGTCTGTTACCAGGATTTCTTCCTATTTTTATGCTTTATTGAAACCACTCTTTGGTCTCAAATTTAATTGACCCTCTGAGTGCTGACTCACCTCCCCCAATAACACATTCTCCTTGCAGAGACTGTGGTAATAGAACTATATTCATTAATGAACATTCAGTTATTCTCTTTTGGCTTTACGTTCTTGCTAGTTAACCCTGCATTTCTTCACTGCTCAAATTTCTGTTCCTGCAATTAAAAGGCGTTGTAACAAGATTTTAACTAAAACATGTTTTAGTAACAGGCTAATATCTACATTTTGAGATGCTAGACCCGTTGAAAGTCAAGTAGTTTGAATCCATCTCTTCACGGGTGCGGAACCCTTCTATATTGTTCATTGAACGAAGCTACGGGGCAGGACGCTACTGCCCTGCTGTTCCGCACGCTAACAAGTTGGAATCTGTACATGATCTTTCCACCTAGCAGAATAGCTGATAGTCACCCAACCATTAGGATAATTAGCCAAGCACGATGCTGCTTAATGTATCCACTTACACCACTCCCCACCCCCACTAATCCCGGGCATTTGCTTTGTACAAAACCGCTTTGAGGATTTTAAGCCCGGGTTTATCACCAAAGCCGCGTCGTAGGGCTGTGCCTGGAGGGGATAGCGTGCCTTCCTGCACTGAAGTCAGTGCTTTTTTTCCTCCGCCGCATCAAAGTGTGTCGGTTTTGCTCGGGGCGGCTTTTGGCCCTGGATCGCTGGGACTCTGCCCTACTACGGCAGCTGTTCAAGTTGTTCAGACATGAGCTGGTAGCTCCAGCTCCCCTGCCGCTGTGAGCAGGCCGGCGTTGGCTCCTTGCGTTCCCAGTGTCCCGGGCTGCTCCCTCCAGAGCCGCGCACTCCTGGGCTTTAACCCCCCCGGCCGCCTCCATGGTGTCCTGCAGTGCTGCGCCTCAGGGCGTCCCTTCCCCGCGCCCCGCCCGAAGGCTCCTTTGCCCCCGCTCGCCAGGCACGCCCCCGCCGCATTGCCCCGCGCCCGGCCGGGCCCCGATCTGCGCAGCGAGTCCAGGGCGTGGCCGCAGGGGGCGGAGCGGCTGGAGGCGGGCGGCAGAGTCAGACACCTGGCGCCTCTGCTGCGGAGAGTAGCGGCGCGCGGTTTTCCCGGCGGCTGCGCTCCCACGCGGGGCACCGGCTGGGTGGCTGCCTAAGGAAGGGAGCGTGGGGGCCGCCTAGCTCTCGTGGTGAGTAGCCTGCAGGGGCCCGGCGCGGGAGTGGGTGCTGAGGGGGCTCTCTCTTGGCTTCCCCTGCCCTGAGTAGTAGCAGCAGCAGGAAGGAGGCGGGAGCATAGCTGAGGGATGAGTGTGCGAGGCTGTGCGCACCCACCTGGCTGCCGCAGCTGGGATGCCTGTGCAGTGCACTCGGGGCTGAAGTCCGCATGGGGCGCAGACTGGTCACGCCAGGCGTTTCCTGCATGGAAATCCTCGCGTTCCCCCTTCTGGCCAGTGGTCGCACATAGGTAAGGAAAGGGAGCGGGCAACTTGCTGAGCCTTTGGAGGCATAGGGGCTCAGCTGCCCTCACTGCTGCCTTCCACAGCTTTGCTGTTCAGCATCCAGTTGCGTACCGCTCCCATGGCTTCACCGTTGTGTTACTGGCACCAGTAAACTCTGATGCTGCTTTCCCCCTAAGGGTTGGGAGGGAGAAATAACAGGAGCCGTGTGCTTCAGGTGTTTCCCATAGGGACAGTGAATCACAGCGCTTGTCATATCACTTTGTGGGGCCAGGGAGCAACCTTTTTTCCCCCACGTAAAACCAACAAGGAGCCGGTGGCACTTCAAAGAAAAAAATATATTAAGATCTTGAGGCATTTCCCACTCTGTCGGTATACTTAAGCTGTTCAGATTTAGATTTTTTTGTATAACTTTGACAGCTGCTATTGTTTAAGATTTTTCATTTGTATTGATTTAAATTGTAACAGTTGCACAGAATTGAGTTAAGCGTTTATTTTTATAATATTGTTTACAATTTTGCAAACATATGGGTCGTCAATTATTTAATGGAGGTAGATCCCATGATTTAAAAAGTTAAAACTTTATAATTTGTAAAACATAGATTGTAAAATATATAAGGTACATAGAAATGTAAACTCTTAATTTCACAAGCAGCATTTTCTTTCTTGGCTTATCTGTACATTTTTATTATTATCAATGGAAATATTTGGCAGCTTCTGTGTATATGGTGAAATATATGCTTACCAGCATTTACTGATTAAAATCTAATCCTTCTAGTCCTAGTATTAAAGAAAATATTAGTCCCTTTAAAAATAAAATGGTATAGTTTACTCTGAAAAGATATAGATGATGTAAACATTGTGAAAGAGTCTTTATTTTGCTCTGATTTTTCAGCAAACAATAGTGACTTGTAAAGCACTAATCACTTTAGGAAGGAAATATTGAAAATGTTTCTGTGGTCTAAAGATTTTGTAGTGCATATACCTGCTTTTTTTTAAAAAAAAAAAGTGTTCAAGTTACTGACAAAGATATTTAAAATATAATCTATTTCTCTGGATAACTTCATGATTTCCTGATGAACAGGTTAATTTGAAGTTGTAGGGTAAAATTTCACTCATAAGATGAAATTCTGTCTTCAGTATGCTAATATGCATAGAACCCAGTGATGTGGCACCATTTTACTAGATGATTGATTTTTGTTCATAGTGCAACACAGCTAATAAAGTAAACTACTTTTCCAAAATAGCTATGGGAATTTTATCCTCTCATTTAAAAATCTATGGCCCCATCTTCATGCTGATGAAAAAAACTGAAAGCATGTTTACAAATGTTTGAAGATTTGAGACTTGTATTATCAATAATACAAAAGCAAGATGTATGTAAGTAGAAAACAATGACATGACAACAAAAGTAAAGCATTTCTTTTCTAAGAAGGCCTACTGTTTAATAAATTGTTTAGAGTCCTTTTGTCACCCTTGGGCCCACAAATGCTTATTGATATGTTTGCCGAAGAAATAACTTATACATTATCCAACCTTTTTTTCCCCCCCTCCCTGATTTTGTTTAGTCCAGAACACAGTCTCCAGAGTCTTCCAAAGAAGAGAGCAAAAAGAAACCAGTTTTGGGAAAGCTTGGAAATTTGTTTAGTACAGGGAGGAGAAAAAATGCCAAAAACTCAGTAGACCCTTTTACAAGTCCAAATATCAAAAGTGGGATATCAGCTTCACCTCATAAGGATACAGCTTCACTTAAATCAATAGAGAATGAAGACCTAAAGAAAGAAGAAGGTAGAGCTTCACAAGTGCAGGAGGCAAGAAGTTGGAATGCTCTTGCAGAAACACAAGAATATTATGAGGAAATAACATCTTTGAGTGAGGATATTATTAAAGCATGGAGCAGCAAGGAAGCCTTTTCTGATATTGAGAGGTCACCTGATTGGAACAGTAGCAATGAAGAAATAAACACATTATCTGAAAGTGACCTTACAGTGGAGACATTGGAACTAAAAAAAGAGCCTGTTGTAGACATTACTAATTCCACAACACCAGATTTCATCAAAAGTTTGAATAATTTATCTAGTGAAGACTTAGAAAAAAACATATTAAATCATAAGCAACTAGTTAATTTGCAAGGATCTGCACAGCCTGAGTGTGCGGTATCAAAGGAATTACCACACTGTTTGAAATCCAAATCAGCTGAGCATGTACATCCTGCTAGAATTCTAACATTGGATATCTATCTTAGTAAAACAGAAGAAATACCTTCTGATGAATCTGTGAGTTTATCAGAAGAAGTTTGTGGTGACACAGATACAATGGATAAAAAATCTGGTAGGAGATCTGGAAGGAGGAGGAAATCTCAATCCTCAAGTGAGACACTAAATGGAGAGAGAAATCAGACTGAGAATACTGCAAAAGAAGATTGTGATTTTGCTGGTGATGTTCCTTCTGAAGTGGCTTCAGAAAAGATAATCAACTCAGAAAGAAAAGTTAAATCTCCTCCACAGACTCCTGAACGGAATTCTTCTTCGAGTAACCAGGACTTAAAAAATGGATCTAACCACAGGGGGCTGCCTAAAACTGAATCTGAGAGAGGCAAACAGCAACTCCCAACTTCAGCCCCTTCCAGGAGAAGATCACTTAAAAAGAATCAGTCTGATGCAGTCCCTGTTTCTCCCACTGGCTTGAAGAATCCAGTAAAAGATTCTTTACCGAAAAAGCAGTTAATACAACCTGTGGCATCAGCAGAAGGTGGTAACCCAGCAACTAAAAGTACTTCAGTGGAAAGGGGAGCTGTAGCTGTACCTTCTGGTGAAAGGAAAACAGAGACCTCCACGGTTTCCTCTATCAATGACAAAGAGAATACCACTTTACTTTCTGAAAGTAAAACTGAATTCAAGACAGCAAAACATGTCAATAGCTCTGAAGGAACAAATTACTTGCATACTGAAGGGATTCACAATGGAGAACTAAGCAGATCCACAGAAAATGAAGCAAGTTCTGATGTAGACAGCACAAAGCTAAGAAATTTATGTTTGGATGTTTCAAGATCTACAGTTACAACAAAAATTAACCTGTAAGTAATTTTATACTTTGCTCATTGTAACTTTTACCTTGACAAAATATAAACTTTAATTTGACACTTTTTAAATACCTAGATTGTTCTCAGTTAAATGACACTGGGAATTTGAAAATCATGCTTTTGTCAAATTTTGAATGTACCATGGTAAGTAATACTTAATTCCTGTAATTGAAAAGCATTACTAAAATGGCTTTTTTTTCCCAGTTTTTTCTTTGTGCTTTTGACAGCACTTTGTCTTGTAGTCCATGACTGAGTGCTACTGTATAGCCATTCATGTTCTTCTTTGCTGGAAAGACCCTTATAAACATCAGCTGGAGAGGTGAAAAGCTAATACTTTGTACTGTCAAAAATGGAATTTTTAAGTGTAAATATTAAGTAAATGTCAGATTGACACAGTTTCCCATATTATATTATTGAGGTGATAGTTACTCTTGTATCAGAGCAATAGGAAAAAAACCTGCAGTTAGATGGATGCTTAATTTGAATTCAAGGTGTTGAAAGTAGGTCTTCTACAATGCTTAATGTCAGAATTTGACCCTGATATTGAAAAGTTTGGCAACAAAACACTTTTTCTTGGTTATTGTTGATTGAAACTTGGCGATGGGTATGAGTGGGCTTTCTAATCAATAAATATTCAGGTTTGATGAATGAAGAACCTAAGCTATCTCACCTAAGGCCTGATTTATTTTTTTTTAATGCTTGGTAAACCTGCCACTCCTACTTACTTTAGTAGAAGTTGAGGTTTTATGCTTATAAGCACATGGGATCTTTTTTAGGGGGAAAAGGCAATACACTGCACCCATTGCAAATACAGCATAGAAATCCACATAAACACATCCTGAAGCTGGTGTTATAGTGACCAGTCTTATTGCTGCGTGTGCCAGACTGGTGGCCAATTAGGCAAGTACGAGGAAGGAGCTGGGTTCCGTTGGCCCTGGTCCAGTGCTTCGAAGTTGTCTTCACCGGGCAAACCCAAAGCTCCATGGTTACAACACCCCACTTTTATAAGTCCCAACTTTAGCCTGTTGGTTTTGCAGTATCATCCTGGAGTCATCTAATTGTTAATTGATGTTTTGCCTCAAGGCTGCTTCCACTGTTAATGTTCCATCAGTACTTGGATGAATATCCTGGGAATGACTGCAGCTGGTTTATCTCATTCACAGGTGTAAGCCTTTACTTTAGGGTCACCAATTCTGTCCCTTTTGGGCCATCCTGAATTTGAGCAAAGCCTGCATTCATATCTACTTGTTAACCATTCTGCTGGTGTCTTCTGTCTCTTGTTTTAACACATTTCTCACATACACAAAGGACAATTCATTTCAGAGAAAGCAGTTTCTCTTACAAAGGAACAGGCAGGATTTCTTAAAGACTTATGAAGTTGAAAAACAATTTATTCTATAAACAATTTCTTACTGATTTATAATACCTAATACAAAATACATTTTAATACCTATCAGCTGTTATAAAACACAGCTCATGAAACAAAATCTATATAACTACATAAAACAAAGCTGTACAATAAAGATTATGTAACTACTCCTATGTGTCAGGCCTACAAAAGGTTAACCTCTCTCTCTGTCCCTAGCCCACTAAATCCACACGTTACTAAATATGGCTGTTAAAAATCCAGGAGACTTTGCTTATTACATTAGAAACCTTTTTAAAGGGGTGACTGTAAGGCCCAAGTGACCTGAGTCTACCAGTAATGAGGTTAGAACTAATCAAAATCAAGACATAAGACAGGGGTGGCCAACCCGTTCCAGATGAAGAGCCACAATAGCAGTGGAGATGGCATGAAGAGCAGGGGCAAAGTTGTTGAGTGCAAAACAAAACAAAAAACTCTCTGCTGCGCTGGGGGGAAATGGGTGCTGGTACATCTGTCCCAGAGCACAGCTTTTTTGTTAACAATATGTTTCGTTAGTCTATAAAGTGCTACCAGACCATTAGTCTGTTACAGGAAAAAAAACAACAAACTCGGCTACCCCCTGGAACTTTTCCTCAGGTCTTCGCAGTCCTGTCCCCCCGCCCAACAACTTGCCCCAGCTCTTCACGGTGTCTCCACTGCTATTGTGGCTCTCTCCAAAAAAAAAAAAAGCACTGGGAAGGGGTGAGAGGTGCAAGCTCTGGGAGGGAATTTGGGTGCAGGAGGAAGTAGAGAAGAGGATGCTGGCTCAAGGAGGGGGCTCCAAGCTGGGGAGTGTTGGGGTCAGGTGGAGGGTTGGGGTGCTTAGCAAGCCGCAGGCTTGTGGCTATGAAGGTGCAGGAGTTTGGGCTGGGGTGTATGAGGGGCTCATGGCACAGGGAGGCTGGGAGTTTGATGGGCTCAGGACACAGATTTGCAGTGTGTGGATGGTACAGGAGTGTTGTGGCAGAAGACTGGGGATGTGATTGGGGTGCAGGTGTTTGGGGATAAGAGAGGCTCAGGACAGGGGGTTCCAGTGTATGATAGGCTCAGGTTTGGGGTCTGGAGAGGGTGCAGGAGTGTTATTATGCTGCAGCCAGATGGGGGCTTGGCCCCAATTGGGGGCTTGTTGGTCAGGCTTCATTTTTAAATAAAATATTATGTCCAACACAAAATGTTTCAGCGTTGTATTTATGAGAGGGGTGGGGTCCCTGTTTTGAGTCAGGGGTCCCTGACCCACAGAAAAGTCAGTCAGAGCCACGCAAGTGAGATGCAAAAAAACAACCTCTCCAAAACCCCCCAAGCCTCACTAATGTGGCCCCAGCTGTGCTGGTGGGGGTAGGGTACTGGTGAGTGCTGGGGCAGATGGCAGGGTGCTCGGGCCGGGGACAGGATGCTGGTGGGTGCTGGCGTAGGGTGCTGGGACAGGGTGTTGTTGGGTGCTGGGGCAGGGAACAGGGTGCTGGCGGGTTCTGGGGCATGGTATTAGGGCAGGGGGTAGTACTGGTTGGTGCTGGGGCAGAGGACAGGGTGCTGGTGGGTGCTGGGGGAAGGG